TTTTTTACTGTTTTTTTATTGTGTGACAATTATCATTATGACTATTTTTGTAAATATATGGATACACGGACCAACTAATATTTTCACGCATAGATTTGCAAATTTTTTGGTATGTTTTGCGCATCGTTAATTTTCATTCCTAGAATTTAAGATTACAATCTTTTAATTAATATATGTTCATTTATTGTTTTCAGTTATATATTTAACTATGCACAAGATTTTCTTTTGTATTGATGTTTGTCCATAATTATGTACATTTCAACGTAAAGTGTTTCATCTGAAGAGGACCAGATTTGTTGGTCGAAACTAGTAATGTAATTAACATCTGTTTTTTTAATCGTTACATTTATGTAAATTTATAAGTTCATTTTAGAATATATGTATTAATTTGTTGTTAATTTTCTTTTCGTTTGACTCTTACAATGCCATTTCCACGTTTATAATGTTTTTAAAGAAAGAGTCCTTTATTTGTTCTATTTTTATTTAATATACAGTATAATTTCTTTTTACAACTTACATTCTGTTTAAGATGGTTTAAGAAGATTTTTTTCTTTTTTAAGTGTGTCCCTCGGATGAGGGGAAAATAAAGCGTCTCTAGCCCTAACTTTTTTGGGCTATATAATGCCAAGAAGACTTCTTGATAACGCAAAGGTTAAGGACAAGACTTCTTGGTTATAACCGACGCGCATGCGCAAACTTTCATTCAATGTGCAATACCGCTGCGCATTGAATGAATAACCGCGGACGTTTTTTGACCTATCCCCACCACGCTAGTTTACTCTCCTGGTTCTAGTCTTCTTGCTTATGTTTTTGCCTTATTAATATTTCGCGATTTTCATAATACGTATGGTCCACTCAAATTCCAAGGATTTCATTTAATTATTCGATTTTTCGAATGATTATGAGTTTTACCGATTTTAACGCTCTTTTTAAACAGACTGTATATGTCCTTATCCATATAAATTTTTTTTTCATAATATTGTTTTTATTTTCAATTATCTTTTTATAGCGTAACGCTTTCTTAAGGCGATGCTAAAACAGCTATTTTTATCATGATTCTATTTGAAGAGAAAGATCCGAATTGGCTTTACGGATTGCAAAATCCTTTCACAGAATAAAAGTACGCACAAAAAGGTATACAGCAAACCTTGATTTCATGAGAAAATCGGAAAAAAATTAAAAAATTCACTTTTTCTGGCAAAGTAGGATCACATTCAATACCTGTTTTTACCGATGCTCTACAACGCCATCTATTTCAAGACGGCGGCC